AAACCACAAAAAAATTTTTTTTAGATTTTTTTTTTTAGAATTTTATGTGAAATTTTTTTCTAACTAGAAAAATAAAAATCCAACGTAAATTCCATAAAACTTATAACAGATGAATATAAACATTTTTTTTGTTTTATAATTTTTATTGTCTTCAAATAAAATTACATTTAAAATTTAATTTGAAAAAAAAATACCACAATAAATATGTACAAATAACTATTGTTTTACTTGTTTTTATCTTTTTTTTTGCGAAATCTATTTTAAATGTAAATTCAATTAAAATATTTATGTTATTTTAGAAAATTTAATGAATAATATTAGACCACAGCCAATATAAAATATTTAAAATAAAATTAAATATTCAAAATTTCGGAATAAATAAAATAGTATTTTATGTGTATAAATAAAAAAAAAAGAAAAATTGAGAAAATAAAAAAAAAGAAACAGTTATTCTAAAATTGTTTAAAAATCTTTCCGGCAGAAATTTCGACATTTAAAATTTGGAAAATTTATTTACATATAAAACTGCATGATATTGTTTATCACTTGTTCATATGCTTTTTAAAGAATTTAGACTTTGTGCCAAATTTGCTACATATAACTAAATTTAAAAAAAAAATAAAAATTCTAATACGATTACGAAACTACTGGTATTCCAGTTATTTGTTTGAATTATAACTCCAACTAATTTCTGAAAACTTAGATTTCTGCGAGATTTCAAAATTACCCTAATGTGCTTAGTGCTAACACAAAATACAATTGAATTATAACATTTTATATGTTCGGCATAAGCCTATGAATGGCTTATGTCGAACATAAATATTCGATATTACCATTTCTAGGCAGCGCAAAAATTTTCTATATATATACGAATTTTTAAACGAATATAAAAATTATATTACTAAATTTTCATATTACTTCTTGATGCAGGAGAATTTTTAATTTTATTATATTCGAAAATGCTAAAAACCAATAAACGCGCTGCAATATAGTCTATCGAATACTCGGAATTCGAAAATACGAAAACAAATAAAAAAGAGAGGGAAAATTCAATTTTGATTTAATTTATTTTCGATTGTTTTTTAATTTTATTTCCATTATTTTATTATTATTTTCAATTTTCCTTTTTCAACTTCACTCATATTTTATTGCATTTTATATAATATTTATAGGTGTTTTATATTTTTGGTGCAGGTATAGGTAAAGTTTTTTTTTTTTAAATTTTTTAATATTTTTTTTCGCAGGAAATTGAAAATGAATAAATATGTCGCATATTTTATAAAATATACATTTTTATTTTAAATAAAATGTATAAGAATTTTATTGCTAAATAAAAATGAAATATATATGTATACATATATATATATATATATATATATATAAACTGAAACATTTTTAAATGGAAATATTAATAAATAACAAGAAATTTGTTATTTATATCATTTCATAGTTGATATTATTTGTTTTTAAAGCTGTACAATTATATAAAGTTTTAAATAATAAAATATTATTAGAAAATAAAAATATTTTTAGAAAATTCAAATTATTTAAAAATTGCATATGTGTAGGCGAAGATGAGTTTTTACACTTTCATAAATCTAATGAAATATAGTACGTATACCACCCCATGATGCCAATAATATGTTGGCTAATAAAAGTTACAACAAATTTTATACAACTTATTATTTGGAATTGGTTTGGCTTGGTAGAAGCCGAAATTTCTATAAATTTTCTCAATTAAACTTATTTTAAATTAAAATTCTTATCGATTTAGTAAATCTTTTTAAAAGACTTCTTTCAATCTTAAGTTTGAAAATTTATTTCATTTTTAAAGATTCAACGGTTCAAATATATAGCAGCATTCTTTTTATAAATTAATAGTTAAGATTTTATGACCTAGAATTTAAATTAAGAGGAAATTGAAATAATTAAAAAAAAAAGAACGAAATGTTTTTAAAAAAACTTATTTTTTTTTTTGCTTGCGCATTGCATTGTAATGCAATTATTGTTATGTCCTTCGTAATAACAAAATTGTTGATAACTTAAATAATAATAATAATAATAAAATAAAACAACAATATTATAAAGTAGGTAAGGCTAAAATGCAATTAATTTATGCACTCTTGGAGTCAAGTTATTCAATTCCACCAGAAAGAATTTTCTCAATTATAATTATTTCTTTTTTTTTTTTTTTGCATTTTCTTTAAATTAAACTGCAAAAATTTTTTGTTCCATAACAAATTCAGTTTCGTATTAAAATTCTTAAAAAAATTTTTTAGTTTATAATGTTTACCTTTTTTATATTCTCTTTTCGGTAAATCTCTTGTTTTTAAAAGATTATATTACTCTATTTTAATATTCAATTAATTAGACAAGAATGCAGAAATGGAGTTACGGAGTAAACGGAGTGGAATCAGGGTATAAAATTCCATGTTACGAACATTTCTAACTAGAAACAATAAGTTGACGACCGCAATCTGGTTTTTTTTACTTAAAATTGTTGTATTTACAGAAAAAAATTGTTTACAGAAAAAAATTACGGAAAAACGGAAATTGTTGTATTTACGGAATTTCGGGTATTTATTTTATAAACAGAAATCTAGAAATCAATGCTCCATTCCAATAAATTATAAAAAAGCAAGCATTATTAATTTTCATCAAATTTTGTAGTATTCTATTAAAATTTGTCACATACAATATTAATCTATGAAATGTACGAATGCAATTTTATTTCATTAATCTCATTAATCTGTCGTATTTTCTATTATTTAATTAAAATAATTCTGAATTTATAATTAAATTAATAGTATAAGAAACTATAAATTATTTTCAAAAAATGAAATGCTTACATTTAATTTATTCATAAAACATGGTTTGCCGTTCCGAATTTTTTTTCTAAAATCATGAGAATATAAAATATTAGAATATATAGCTAAAATAATTTTTTCAAAATTTTCAATTTTATCAGGTCGCTGCTTCGTCAGTCACCCTGCATTTTAAGCATACAAGAGTGTATTACGCACATAAGTTGTAAAAACAAAAATTATAATTCTATTGTAAAGTAGTTTGTACAAGAAATATTGTAAAAATATAAGTTGATAAGTTCACAATACCATACCTAAAGTTAATCGTTTTTCTCTTTTTCCAAAGAAAAACAAGTAGCACAAGTACACATCAAATAAGTATATAGTCACGAATCCGAATAAATATGCAATAAGATTGTACACATATAAAATTTTTTATTTTTTCATTTTTATATTTTTTAATAATCCCCAGTTTATCCTACCACCATACTGTGTATTAATGATTAATTTTTAATGCTTAACAATATGTGACAGAGCATTTTGTTTTAAAATACGAATATTTATTTAAACAACAATAATTTTATGATAATCAGATTACCATAATATGTGAGTGAAGCTCATTGCATTTGTATATTGTTGTATAAAAAAAACAGCAGTATGAAAATAATGGTAAAAGTTAAAAAAAAGAAGAAAAAAAAACAAAATTTTCATAAGTTTTAATATTAATTAACTTGCTTAATAAAATGTGTACATACACTTATAACTTTTAAAATTAAATTTTATTAATACTTTTAAATTTTATAAAAAAAAATTATTGTGGATTATTAATTTAAAAATTTGCAAAATTAACAAAAAAACAAGAGGCTTTGTAAATGAGATTGAAAGAAAGTTAATTTGAAAAAAATATTTTTTTCTCTTTAAAAATTGCGGTTCACAATTTTTAGAATAGCTTTTACTTTACTGGTTATGTTATTCGTGATTTATGACATGATTTGTTGATTTGGCGCAGTTGTAAAACACTGTAAGAAAAAACTACTCCCAAATTAAAGAGGGGTAGAAATTGGTAGATTCCAAAGGAACCGAATGGAGCAAGAGAAGACATCCTCCAGGCCGTCGGAGCCATTCGTGATTTATTGTAGCCTCTCCGTGCTCCCGCCTAAAATATCCCTGTCCCAAGTATAAAACTGGAGATAATGAAAGAATTAAATGCATTTTAAATGCAGTTCTCAAACACGCAGGAAGGAAGCCCTGCCCAAGAGAAATGCGACGCCGGACAGGGAATACAGGGCAGTCGCAAAAAATGTGCACGACGGTCTCGTGCACATCTCCACAGAATTTGCGCGTGGGGAAGTCCGATTTCTCCAGCTTCTTTTCTTAATCACTGTTTTCTATTGCAATTTACCACCCAGGTAAGTTTATTTCCAAAGGCTTAATGCTATACGAGAACCTTTCATACTTTAGAATTATTATTGGAATATTCTTGTTATATTTTATCTCTCACATTCAAGGCAAGAGAGAACGAAGCGAATAAACAGTATGAAATTTTGTTTTATTGTAGTTACTATGATTCCTTATATAGTGAACAATTTTAGAAAAGGAATTTTGTTTTTTGATTTCCAAAATTTACGTTTTGCTTTTATTTTTACCTGTTACACTAGAAAAACGGCGAATCAAGTCGAAAAGTTGAATTAGTTTCAATTGCCCTCCATATTTCCTTTTAAATAATGATTGCTCTTTAATATCCTATTCTCCCTAATATCCTACTGAAACTGTCATACTGCTGGTATATTATTTATACGTAGTTATTCTAATTCCAACTGCAATAAACAATATTATAACGAACAGAAACTTCTATCTCTCTTGTAATATAATATGGGCAAAATTGTATCCTAAAATCGTCCTGATTAATATTTCAAAATGATTCTATTTTAATTTCATCTAAGTGAGGGTGTATGAAAAAATGAGAACTTAAAAAATTTTTTATTTTCTTTTTGTTTTTTTTTTTTCCACTACGTTGATAAAAATAAGTATAATTTTTTAATTGCCTTAACATTTTCATTAACTCTCTATAATTATAAAATTTCAATTTTTTCACTGTGGGAAAAATGAATTTATTTTAAGGTTGTTATTTTTTTTTGTATTTTGATTTAAAACAATTTACAATTTTTATATATGTATACATTTTTTTTTGAACAGAATTCGCCCACAAATTCCCAGAGAGGTAATTGATATGTGCCGAATATGTACCACAGTGACACCAGGTGAACCACATGTCGTATTGGGAACAGATAAGGCTTTCACATTTGATTTTGTATTCGATGTTAATTCAAGTCAGGTAATTTTTAATTAATTGATTTTTTTATGTGTATGTACATTCCTACTGTTAGCAATGTAAGTAAGTACTGTGTGTTGTTGCGTATATTTGCAGCATATACGTGTAGCTTAACAATAGGCAAATATTTTATTTGGGCATTTAACAAGACAAAACCAGAAAAAAAAGCATGCAATACAAAAATAAAATAAAATTCCGAACTGAAAAGCAAAAAATTAATTTTTACAATTAAAATAATTGTCATTATTGAAACGGCTTGCGACATTACTTTGTATCATTCCCTACTATGTCGGTATTATTTTTTTAATTGTGAATTTTATTTGAATGTGGCCAACTATTTTAATAATAAAGAAGGAAGGGATTTATTTTCCCTTCTACATGTTTATAATATTGAAAATCCGAGTATTTCAAACAAGAAATTTTAACGGCTTCAATGCCATAGTAAATTAAAATTGACAGAATGTAAATGAATTTTTAAGCCTGTTTAAGTTATATTGTTCAAATACAAATATAGGGATGTTCAATCCAGTAATCGCAGAGTGGAGAGAAGTAAGATGAGCTTTAAAGTAAAAACAACTAACTTGAAAATTATATTCTTTCAAAGCACTTTATTCAATTTTGATTTGCTTTGTTACATATCGTCGCAGTTACTGGACGCTGTGCTTAAATTTTTTCTAATTCGAACATATCCCAAATTTTTAATTCTCATTCATTCTTTAATATTATAACTGGAAATTGAATTTAAAATTTTTCATTGAAATTCTTTGAGTTATAGTTTGTTGTGATGTGTTTTAAACAAGACACCTTGTGAGCAGAATATTGATAATAAACTAAAATTCTGGATAACCCATTAGAGAGTGCAGCTTTATTGCTAACAGAGCTTGCCATTAATTATGTAAAAACACAAGAATCAAAAACAAAAATAAATAAAAATTAATAAAAAATTTAAATATATCATTACATAATGATTTATGTTTAAAATATCCTTTTTGTTTTTTGATTTTTAAAACAAAAATATCCTTATCTCTTCGCATATGTATTTTAAATCACCAATGGTGCATCACCAAAGCAACAGAATTAAAGCATAAAAATAAATACATTTTTGCTTTACAATAATTCCATTTAAAAATTACTTTAATATTGGGATGGAATGTATAACATTAAATTAAATTTATTAATTCTCAAAAAAAAGGCAAAAAATAAAAAGTTGCTGGTGATCCCATACGTAATTGCAGACAAGGATAATGATTAAAAAAATATTTAAAATTTAATGAAATTTTCCTTTAATTTCAAAATATAAACCGCATGTATGCTTGTGCATCTACCATAACAACAAATTATAATAAATTTTATTTTAAAAATTATTTTAATTTTAATAATATTTTTCTTTTATTTTAAATTGTGTACAGGTTGAAATTTATGAAAAATGTATCGATAGATTGGTCGAAGGAGCTTTAAAAGGATATAATGCTACAGTATTGGCATATGGTCAAACTGGTTCTGGTAAAACATATACAATGGGGACTGGTTTTGATCGTGAACTTCTAGATATGCAAGAGGGTATAATACCAAGAGCTGTACGTCATATATTCTCATCAATTGATACTCTACAAAATAGTAATCATAATATTGAAAATGGTGTCACAACTGATAATGATGGTGATGAAAATATCGTTACTAGTGGTATTAATAATGTAGGAGCAATACAATTTAGTGTTGGTGTACAATTTATGGAATTATATAATGAAGATATAATAGATTTATTAGATCCATATAATAAGGGTAGAGTGTTTAAAATACATGAAGATCCAAGCGGTGGTATTTCTGTTGCTGGAGCTACAATTAAACCAATAAACGGACCTCAAGATGCCTTAAAGTATTTAAATATTTATAATTAAATTTATTAATATTTTCAATTTATATTTTTATTTATTTAAAAAAAATTACAGATGCCTTCAACAAGGAGCCTTAGCTAGAACTACAGCATCAACTCAAATGAATGAGCAATCGTCCAGGAGTCATGCTTTATTTACTATTTTAATACGTCGCCAAAGAGTTATGTCAGTTGAAGAATGTGGTTTACCGGAAGGTGACTTAGAAACTCTCACATCAAAATTTCATTTTGTTGATTTGGCTGGTTCTGAACGATTGAAACGTACTGGCGCAACTGGTGAACGAGCAAGAGAAGGTATCTCTATTAATTGTGGACTTCTAGCTTTAGGAAATGTTATATCGGCATTAGGGGATAAAAGTAAACGGAGTACTCATGTTCCATATCGGGATTCAAAACTAACAAGATTATTACAAGATTCTCTTGGTGGTAAATTAAACAAAAATAAATTTAATTTAACACTAGTTTCAATTTGTTTACATTTTCTTTTTTGTTTATTACAGGAAATTCACAAACTTTGATGATTGCTTGTGTATCACCAAGTGATCGTGATTTTATGGAAACTTTGAATACTTTAAAATATGCTAATAGAGCTAGGAATATTAAAAATAAGGTTCAACTTAATCAAGATCAAAGTTCAAGAACAATCGCTCAATTGCGCCGTGAAATTCATGCTCTTCAATTGGAATTGCTTGACTATAAACAAGGAAAGAGAGGTATTGACGCTGATGGTAATCCTTCCATTTCAGATACATTCCAAGAAAATGCAATGTTATTAGCTGATAATAAACGATTACAACAACGTTTAAAAGCCATGCAAGAAACGATTAATTCACTAACAGAACGTAATACGGAACTTATGTTACAGAAGGCAACACAAGGTTGGTCTGATATTAATGGCGCTGATAAATCAATTTCCGATATGGTAGCAGGTTATTTAGCAGAAATAGAAACGCTAAAAGCTAAATTAATTGAGTCTGAAGGAATGTATCAACAATTGAAAAAAGCACAATTTAATAGTCCTAGGAAGGCTGGTGATTTCACAAATCCATTTGCCAGTATGTTAAATTCAAATATTTTGCAATAAAAGTTAATTATCATAGTGTTAATCAAAATAATTTTTTTGATTTTAGATCCAGAAGCATTACTTGATTTGGCAAAACGAGAAGTTGAAAAAGAACGTGAAATTTTAATGTCGAGATCGTTGCCCGGCATTAATAATGACGATTCAAATAATTCAAATATTGAAAATGAATCTCCAGAGAGTGATTCCGATACTGAATCTGATGATAAGACTAATGAGATTCAAAATGAGCTCAATGATCTTAGCTCCGATATAGAATTAAAATCAAAATTAATTGAACAATTGGAAATGTCACAACATAGACTTCAGTTGATGCGGCAACATTATGAAGAAAAATTGAACATATTGAATCAAAGAATTATAAACACGCAAAAAGAAAGAGATCAAGTTCTCGCAAATATGAGTCAATCACAACAGTCTACCCAGTCGATAGAAAAAGTCAAGAAGGTTCGTGAAGAATATGAAACAAAATTGTCACATATGCAAAGAGAATTGCACAAATTGCAACTAGCACAAAAAGCACATTTACGTCAACAACGTGAAATACAAGCTCAAGAAGCACAATTACGTACATTACGTAATGAACTGAGTGAACTAAAAAGCATGAAAACACGCTTGATTCGTAAAATGAACGAAGAAACAAATCGTCACAAAGAAGAGGAAACACGTAAATCACGAGAAATTGCCCAACTTCGAAAGGAATCAAGAAAACAGCAGAACACTATGAAATCTTTACAAGCACAAGTTGCCGCCAAAGATCAAATTTTAAAACGTAAGACAGAACAAGTCACTGCACTACAACGCCGCCAAAAAGGGGGACTTAGTATGAAAGCAAGTGGCCGTGTTCCACCAAAAAGTGAAAGTAAGATATTTAATCCAAGACAAGCACGTCTCAAATGGGAAAATCTTCAAAGAACAATAAACCGTACAGCAAGAAGTAAAGAAGTTCTTGTACAATTAGAACGTGAATTAGAACGATTAATTAACGAAAGGGAGTCTCTCAGCCATGAATTAGCTAATATAAGAAGTCGTCAGCGTGTACATAAATCAGCAGAGCTTGCTAATGAGGAAGATACTCTTAAAGCAAATTTAAATTATGTACAAGAAAATATTAGTCATGTGCAACAATCAATAATGGACTGTGGAGAAGGTAAAGAAACAGAAAATGATGTGCAAACATTACAGACAATTATCGGTAATATAAGAAGTGTTGATGAAGCCAAATTTATATTAGAACGTTTAACTGAAATTGCAATTGGTCAAACATGTGATACGGCTTTAACCCAAAGTAAACTTTTAGAAAAAGAAGCATTATTAAAAGAAGTACAAGCGGAAAGCGGTATTCAACATCAACTCTTACAACATTTCCTAATACAAAATCCAACAGTACAGATTACAGATCTTTTTGATACATTAAATATTAAGAATGATTTTGGTGGATCTAATAATACTTTAAATAGTAATAGCACATATGACATTCCGTCCGATGTTGGTGGCAATGGCGGCGGTGGAGGTGGTAGTGGAATAAATAATTATGATTTTAAAAATACTGGTGTCTGTGATTTAAGCTCGAATCATTATTCAAGATCAAGAAGTCCGTCACCAGCACCTACCATAGATCTGTAAGTTTACTTTCAAATTTTATAAAAAAGGTTTTTTCATTTTAAATTTTAGTATATACATTTTCTTTTTTATTTAATCTTAAATGAAATTTTTAAAATTTTCTAATTTAGATCTTATATTGAAAATTCAATAAGAATTAATTTGAATGAAACAAAACTCATACGAAAAAATATTTTGTATATGGCCATTTTGAGTGAAAATGATTAGAATTTTTATCAGATAATTGTTATAATTTTTAATTTAAATTGTTAAAATTAATTAATTTTTTTAAAAAAAGGTTTTTAAAGTTTTGTTAATATAAAATTAAATATAAAGAACAAAAAAATATAATTTTTTATACATTGTTTTGTTTTCAATTTTTTAAAAATTTTTAGTTCTTCGGAAAGAGGTGGAAAAGTACGACGAAGAACAGCGCAACCACAAGATTTATTATTTGGAGATGTCGACATTATGCAAAATGGAGTAAATAATTTTTAACTATAATGCTATCTATAAATTTTTTTTAAATTTCGATTTTGTAATTTAATTTTAGGATGAAGTAATGACGAGGTCGTACACACAAGTCGAAGGAAGTCCTAGAAGTTTTATTCCATTGGCTCGAGTTCCTAGTGCACCAGGTTCATTGAAGTGAGTCTATACAATATACATACATATAGGATTAAAATTGATGAAAAACTGTGTTCAGTTTTTAAATAATCGCTTAAAAAAATACTTCGTTATTTTCACATATTTCTATAGTATTTTTTTTGTCCAATTTTATATTATCAAAAATGTATTATCAAAAATGTATTGATATTTTGAATTTTAAATTATGTTGATAGCAGGAAAATGTTATTTTTTTTTTGTTTTTATTTTCAAAGCTAGTAAAATTTATTTTTTAATAATAATCTATTTGAATACTATTTAGTTATTATGTCAGTATTATTAACGTTATAACGACCTGGAATTACTTATCTATGTATATTATATACATATGTATGTGTAGCTGAATTGAAATTTAAATCAATAAATTTTAGTCTATATTGAGATATGTTTACAAAAATTATTATTAGTCAAAAATTCAATTATTATTTAAAAGTTATTATTAATTTATTATAATTAAATACAATTATTAAGTTTTAAAATTGAAATTTCTCTAGCTTTATAATTTGAAATTGATAGCGTATAGTTTGTATTCAAATTTGATCAAATTTGATTTGATGCATAGAAATATTAAAACAGATAGAAATATTATTTAGAATGTGAAATTCAGAATGCATGATTATTTTGATATATGAGTAGTTGATACAAATAATAAAGTTAGTTTTTACAATAAAAGTACAATTATTCAAAAACGGAATTAAATTATTTGATATTTTTTTTCTAAGAAAACATAACATATTCTTTTGTAAATCATTTTGTTCTACAAATTAAAATCATATAGCATCAAAACTGAATTTTTAAATATTTTGAAAAGTGATTGTTAGAGTTTTTAGGATATTATTTTTTCAAGTAATTTTGATATCCTTATAACGAAATTAATTAATATTTTTGGCATTTTTTTTTTAAAATAACACTGATACTGTAAATATTTCTTGAACTGATAGTTTTGTTATCACTTTTTGTTCTCCCTCTTTAAAATATTTATAATTATCTAACCAAGGTCATTCAATTTAACTAAAAATTTTCTGTAAACTATGGTGTTAATTTAATAATTAATTTATTATGTGAAAATAATAATGTGGTACTGATTTTCTTATTTATATTTTTATTAAACGCTGTTAGAAGTGTTAATATTTTGTATGTTTAGTATTTCCTGTTAACACATTAATGACTAGCTTTGATTGTGATTAACTTTTGTCTTTTATTCTGATTGAAATATTTGAAATCAATGCATTATAGGTAGCCTATCAACATCATAACTAATTTTAAAATGATGTTCAAATGCCCGTCCAATTTTCATATTTTTTCTTTAATAAAATTAATTAGAATAAAATATAATTATTACATCCTTTTAAAAGTAAATACAAAGCAATAATCAATTTTATTTTTTTTTTAATCATTTATTATTTATCACTTTGACAAGCAAAAAATAAAATAATGTAAAAGCTTTTCTATATTTTATTATCAGTTGATATTACAAATAAAGTCATCACTATTAATATTTTCATATTTTCTATAATAATAAATAATTTACTTTTATTTATTTATATTTTTTTCCCTCAACTTACGGAAATATTCATTTAGACAATCAAATATGATGTCACCATCGTTTACACGTAAATCAATAGAACAAACAACATTAATTGGCCCATCAGCAATACCGCAATCACCAAGATTAAGTCGTCGTGCATATCCAAATAAAGGATCCCCTGGGTTGTAAGTAATAAATGGCAAAAAAAAAATTATTGCAATTTTTTTATTATTTAAAATTAAAATTTTCATAGAATTATAACAAAATGAAAATTTTTATTATTAAAAAAAAAAGAACATTAAATAAAATGAAAATGTTTTTTTTTTAAATTAAAAGTAAAAAAATAAATACAAGCTTATTCTATTTATTGAAATTATAATATATGTATATAATAAAATATACACAATAATTATAATATACCTATTTTTTTATTAATATTTACACATATTTTAAAGTAATTTAAATTATAATAGCTTTATATATGTATATTTTTATATAGCTTATTGTATATATTATATAATACGCTTAAATTTTATTATATATTCACGCATATTCCAATCGCATAATAATATAAATGAATACATCAAAAAATTTACGATTGTATTAAGGTGATTATGTAACCATAATTTGTTTTTATATTAAAAAAACATAAAATTTCAGTATAGCAGAATTTTCAGAAAAAAAAAAAAACAAAAAATAACAAAGAATAAAAGATAAAATTTAATATTTTTTTGTCCTTACTTTGCATATTTTGTTTAAATAATTTTTAATATTGTAAATATTCAATAAAAATGTTTAATTGAGTATTGGATTGACCAAGAAGTGTTTTGTTTTTCAAGTAAAATTTTTATTCAAGTAAATGATTTATGAAAGGATTTTCATTAGTTTGAAACGCCTTGTGAAGGAATGAAATTTTTATTAATTCAATTAAATATTTAAACTTAATAAAAATTAAAATATTTTTGAAATATTCGTAATGGCTTTATTATAAATTTCAATGTTTTCGGTAAAAAAAAAAAATTTTAAGAAATCTTGCAAAGAATATTCTGTCGAAGTTATTATTCGCGATTTCAATAATAAAAAGTTTGGGCAATGATGTGTTCGAGGCGAAGTTTGATTAATCCGATCGGATTATTAAAATTTACAACCAGGAAAATTGTTTCAATTAAATATACATTTGATTCATGATATATTTCATTTCATACTGCACTTTTAAATATAGAACCTTTTTCGGTATCTTACGTGCTTGCAATTGACGTTAGTTATGAGTTTTAAGACGTGATAAAACTCAAAATATAGGTTTCCAAATTCATAGGTTTCAAATTCCGTTGATTATAATTTTTTTTACATTATTTAAAGTTTAAACACGTTTATAAAATTTTTATTCGATCTGTTGCAAAATTGCTTGTTTGCAATTGATTCCCATTTGCAATATGAAGCCACTAATGTTATTGACTTGATTGACACGCTCTTGCAGAAATTTATACGTATGATTTTATACTTATATGCTATAAAAATTATATTGCCATAAGGACCTCATCAATCCTCAACATTATATATCCAATTGCAAGAATAATTTTACTTAAAAAACTTTTTGGGCAATTCAGTATTCCATAAGGTGTAAAAAGTATACAAGTAAAAGTAAAATTATTAATATTATTAATAATTAAAATTTATTTTATAATGCTACAATTACTACAATTTTATTATTATACTATTAGTAAACTGCTATATTATTCGTATTTTTATACTATACTACTACCATTTTGTTCAAGGGATTAAAAAAGAAAATAAAATAATAAAAATCAATTGATAACAATAAAAATAATAATAAAATTATAGGAATAACATGAAATGAACATGAAAAAATTAGCATATTTATGAAGCTATTTTTACAATTAATTAACGTAAATTTAATATGTACAATTTCAATGTTTATATACAATTAAAAATAATAATAATAAAAATAAAAATAATATAATAAAAATTTTAAATAAATGTGAACAGAAAAAAAAAATAATAATAATCATAATAATTTTTTTAAAGGCTTCATTATCCAAAATTATAATATTTATTCAAATATATTTGTAGATTGTATATACATACATACATATATATATTATATATATCTTGTATATGCAGCAATTTTATTCATACATTTTATGATACATATTTATTCGTGCATATTAATATATAAATAAAAGAAAGGAAAAGGACATAAATTCTGACCTCAACCAATAAAAATTTTATTTGACAAAAAAAAAAATTGAATATTTTACTACTCGTATAATTTTTTTTATAAAAATATATGCAAATATATGCAAAACATATATATATTTATATAAACATATCTACATGTTTCATATGTATATATAGACACAAAAACACATTTTGCTTTTTTTTGTTTTAAAGTCATTGCTTTGTACATTTTTTTCTTGCATTTTTTTCCCTATCTTAATCCTCCCACCCCCACATAATATATAAATTCATTGTTTTGACGAAAAAAAACGTTATCTACCACCCGGGTTATTTAATTCGCTTGATAATCATAAACGACTTGGAAAGTCACCTTGTCAATAGTAGGATAACCATATTAAAATATAGAATGATCGTATTTTATCGATGGCATTGTTGCAATTAAGGAAGAATTGTTTTTTAAAAAACAAATTTCACACTTCAAAATTTTTGGACGTAAATGCAGTTTTTGGTGTTAGAGAATCGCAAAATAATCTTTGAATGTAATCATTTTGACAAATTTTTGACAATCCAAATAATAAAAATTTTTCGAAGAAACAGGGTCACGAAAATTTTCACAAAAAATTAATTGTCGCTATTTTACTTTTAAGAAATCTGAAATAAACAGAGTTTGATGTAAAGTGTTTAAATGTACGACATTCGTCAGACTCACATTAAATCGTAGATTTTGTCGTGTATCTAAACAGCAACTCTACTTACGTTAATTCTTTTGCAAAATTAAAATAAGTAATAATTTTGTAAATAATGTTAAGATGCGATTTTCTCTTACAACTTTTACAATTTTCAAAATATTAGTTAGAGAACTAATAGTTTCTACCCTAGAACTATGAGTTATTATTTTTAAATTTAATATAACTGGATATTAAAAGTAAAAAATTAATTCAGTTTATTAGACTGTATTTGGATATTATTCTGAAATCGGGTTATTAGAGTTTATTTTAAAAAAAATTTCATTGTAATGTATTTTCTTTCGAAAACTTCCTTTCTGTGTAAAAGAAAATTAATTGTTTGAATTGAATTCTCCTATACCATAAAAAAGCATATTGATGTTGTTGTTTTTTGTCACTTACATTGGTCTATTTTTTTGCTGTGTGATTTAAATTTGTGTCGTCTTTGTGTACAATGGCACTGTGTTCATATATACCGAATTTGTAATCAATTTTGAAAATTTCATATTGTTTGTTATAATTTGTTCATATATATATGAAAAAAAGGACGAAATTCGTTTGTTTTCTCGTTTCCATAATATTCAATTTTACTTATTGTTTTATGTTTTTTGTTTTTGTTTTATTTTTCTTTTATAATTTTCTTACTCTTCTTTTCAGTTTTTGATTTATCTAGGACAGTGCGTGCAGATGATATATAAGAATTAAATAAAAAAAAAATGAGATAAAATTACTTTAGTAAAATAATTAATGTTATGATTTAAATTGTATAAATAAAATGTCAAGTAAAAATGAAGGTTTATATAATAAGAAAAAACAATAATGATGGTAGAGATAAAAATTATAATTATTATTGATTGTGTTATTAATAAAATAAAACAAAATAAATTGCTAATAACATTAAAAATATAAAAAAAAAATTCAAGCAACCAAGAATGTAGTGTTCATATTTCGATAATTAATAAAATTGTCCCGAATATACCAGTAAGAGTAGATATTTAAACCCCTAAAACGTCCATAAAAGTAAAATAATAATTAATTATCAACTATTATAGTAATAAATAATTTATTAATATAGTTATTTTAGAAATAATAAATATAATACTCAAAATAACAATGATTATATATTATAATTAGATATAACAATAACGAAAATAACAATGATTGTAACAATAGTTACGTAATGATAGTTTTTAGCGAATTAATTCAAAATTTCATTTGAAAACTTTAAAAGTCTAAGTGAATTCAAGGCATCAAACATTTTCAATCACAAAACAAGACAATTAATATATCACTATCATCTCATTCATTCACAAAACACTTTAATTAATATTACGTTTTGTTAAAGAGAATGTTATTAATTAAATTTGTATATGTAATTGAAATTTTTTTTTCGATATTCTTTTCATTTGCTAGCAATGTATATGACAGTAATTTTGTGATAAAACGATGCTTCCTTTACAAAACGAAGGTAATTCTGTTTTGCGAGGCGAAGTTCCTTATAAAACTGTTATTGTTACACATAAAGCAAAATGTATAACTTTACATAAACCACTTGTATAATGTGATTGCTTTAACTAGTTACAGTTCTGTTCCCGATATATTTATTGTTTCTTATTGTTGCTGAAAATGTTTAATATTTTAAAGTTATTTCTTAAAATTTAAAATTTAGTGCATAGCTCATACCCACATGTAAATTGGGTGGGTATGGTAAATAATTTTGGGTGATTGAATTTTGTAATCCATGTGGTTTTTCATATATACACACATACATATATATGATGTATGTGCAATAACAATATTAGATTAACTCCAAATTTCACGTTTTAAAATTTTTGTTTTTTTTATTTAAATTATTTATAACATCATCAATTGTGTTATAATTTATTATTATTTTACTATAATTTCCATTAAAAAAAATCCACTAAATAGGAATTTATTTTCAACTACATATTTTTCATAGTAAATAAATTTGATTCAAATGAAACAGGATAAAAGCTAAAACCAAAAAGAAAAAAATTATAATTAGCATTTAAATATGAAATAATAATTATTATTTTGATTATAGCTGGATACGTCTAATAAATTTTCAATTAAATTTCCAATCAATAATAATTGTACTTGCATACATAATATAAACATTATGTACAACATTATGTACAGTTGGTAATAAAAATCAAATGTTTCTCACCATCAAAAGTTTTTTTTTGTGTTTTTATAAAATTTATTTAAAAATTTAAAAAAAAAGAAATTAAAAATTCTTTGTTAGCAACATTAAAATATTGTAATTATAATAATTTTTTTTTGTTTTTATTATTGTTGAGCAATTTAAATAAATTTAAAAATTGATTTGAATTCATTTAGATTTTGTTATTAAAATTTAAATTAAAAAAAACACCATATCGAAAATTGATAAATATACTTAGACGCCATTTGATATAGTCGTTCTTTTTTTCGGAATAACCGTAAAAAAATTAAATATGGCGAACATAAAAATATGAAAGGATACAAAAAAACAAACATAAAATCAGAACAACAATTAAATTACAAAATACATTTTACCATATAGATAATTTTGTTATAAATTATAAAATTTTTGGGGGAAAAATTTAAAACTCGCTCATGTTCCGATAAATAAAAAATACAGAAAAATTACGATTATAATTTAATTTATGTTGATTGAAATCGAAATAAAATTACATCGATACTCACATTAATATTATTTTGGAGGTATTTATTATTTTTTTTCTTTTTTTTTTGTTTTAAAAATTTTGTTGTGATTTTGATTTTTGTGTGATGCTTTCCCATTTTTTTCCATAAATTCCGTAAATGTATTTGTATTTGTTTTGTCCTTACATTGTGGCTATAATATAATTTTGCTTAAATGTTGCAGAAAAAATAATAATAAAAAAAAAAACAAAAAATTGTGTTTCATAAAGCATTCTATGAAAATAACAAGGTTGAAATTAAGCAACGCTACATAATCTATAATAGAGAATGTTATTACATGTAAAAGCAATTGATTACCCAAAAATTAAAAGAAAAAATTATAACAGACTCCCATTAGAGAATTGCAACTGGCTTACTAATCAGAAATTCTAAAATTTTTGTAACTTCCTTCTAATCAGAAAATCCTAATCATCCTTGTCAGTCCTAAACGTCCTAGCTGCATAATTTCTGATAAGGTTATTTTTGGTGTAAAAAATAAAAATTTTCAATTTTGGCTTCGAATGATCGTCTTTCGCCAAAGTTGATGTTTTGGAAAGCATTTTTTGATTACAAGTTTAATACAATTAAGTTGTAATTGATTTTTAGCTTAGTTGTTAAATTAATGTGCCCGAAAATTAGCTGTTTAATTTTTTATATGATATTGAGGGTAAGGAATTAAAATTAATATCATATAGAACTTCTTATTTTGTATTTCTTTTTGTATGAAGAAGCAACAAGAAAACTTATACTTGAAAAATGTTCATATGAATAGAATCACATAACATTAAGGTTTGTTTAAAAGGGAATTACGTAATAAATAGCTTAATTTCTAGTTTTAATATAAGATTTTCATATTTATAATTAACATCACATTGACTACCTACGAAAATTCTAGATCAATTTTTTGTATTTAAAATCAAAAGCTGAAGACGAATTTACTTGAGTTAGAGTATGAATGGGCCGAAGAAACTGGCTTTTAATGCATAAATTTCAAGTTTAAAAAATTACTTAAAAGAGTTTAATTAATTGTCCCGTATAGCGTTTTTTTGTTCTTAATAGTGTTGCAGGTTAATGTTAAAATAGTAACGATTATAATTATGTTGTCGCAATAAATAGCGTATGTATTCAAAAGTTATAATAAAATATATGAAAGCACAGCCTCTTTGACTTTTCTCTTATTTAATGCTTTAATAATGCACCCAAGAATAAATTTTTTCTCATTTTTTAAATTCTTAATATTAAATTTCTTAAATTTACCTATAGGTACTTTTTTGAAAAGACTAAAACCTCGATATTTCCATTTCTTTGTCAATATTTATTGTTATCTTAATAAAACTATTGTTTTAATTACTCGTTTTAAGGCGCCTATTTAACTAAAATTTATAAATTATATTAAAACTTTGTAATAATAGAACATGGTAATTTATTCGGAATTCTGTGAAACTTATTATTTCTTTTAAAAAATTTTAATGTTACTTTAAACTTTTTCAAATAATATTTATTTAATACAACTGTATTAATTGAATTAAGTGGTGGTTAAACGATTTCTGGAAAACATATTTCGTTCATTCTCCAGTTCCTATCAGAACTATAATATATTCGTTTATTAAAAGAGTTTAAATTTCGTTAAATACTATTTTTATTATACTATATAGTAATTAAGGATAATTTTCATTTCATTATACATATATTTTAATAACATATAATAATATTGACTTCAAAGTAATTCAAATTAATGGTGTATAATTCAGCGTTGTATTCTTTTCTAATCTTAAGTGAATCATGATTATTATACCCTTTATATAAATTCATCTCACACTTTTCATATTGCACAGGTTAAAATCAGAAAATATTATTATTCATCTTATTCATTATAATTTTTACATGTACACATACTATATGAACACCTACACATAAAACAGCATTTTTACATATTTATTTTAAATTATATACATATTATATATAAACTTCTATTTTGGCGGTTCGAAAGTCATTATATAATTAAATTTGTTAAAAATGAAAAAATTTTTGAAATTGAAATTCTACAAATTTTACAGATTTTTAATTTCAAAATGAGAATATAATAAATTTCGGAATAGGAATAATTGATAGCCCACTAAAAAGAAATTCGACTGTACACCAACTTTTTGTTATAAGACGAATTTCCTTTAAAAAGGAATCTACTGAATGGGGATTCAGTTTCTAATGAAAAATTTTATCCCAATTATAAATTATTTTTTCATTTTAAATGCATTATTTATGGGTTAAAATTAAAAATTTTTAAACCCTCAAAACGTATTTAAATTTCAAAAATCTTTATCAATTTTGCTGCAACTTTGAACGCAGAGTGAGATGAAAATAAATTCATATTCTAAGGTACATTGTTTTTGGCTCGGATTTTAATAATAAAATTGAATTCTATTATTGTATTTCACTTATAAGAGGTTTCTTTCAAATAATAATAAAAAAAAAATTAAGCTTTGTTTATGACCTTTCTTGTAAGCGAAATTTGTGACAAAAACGGCTAATTTCGAAATTAACCGTCCTCATTTTGGAAATAAAAACTTAAAAATAAGGGAACGGGTAATAAAAATATTTTGAATTTAAGTCATTTAAAGTGTGGTAAGTTTGTTGAAAAGGTTTTTTGAAAGCGTTGCTTTATAATGACTCCTTTATTCGTCAATTATTTTTTCTATATTATTATTGTTTAATAATATAGAAGATAAGTTTTCAAATATGTAGTCTTATTCCACCATACTATTGAATGTTAGTTTCGGTAGGACCTTATGAAAATTAGGGATGCTAATTGAATTTATCATATTATTAAGTTTAATGATTCAATCAAATTTACTTCATATTAGAAAGTTTTTAATTACATGTTGATAGTACAGAGCACATTGTACGATGTGTAAAATTTCTAATTTTTTTTCATTTCTTCAAATTTATCTCTCATCACTTTGAATCTTTACATAACAGCTTGCCATACTTTAGGTTTAAGGTAGAAAATTATTTAAAATAATAAAAATAAACGGAATTCATTTTAAGTATTATGGTAACATTGTATGATTTTAATTTAATTAATTTATGAATTTTAAAATATACTTATAATTCTTAAGCATTTATCGCTTTTAATATTAATATTATGGCTTTATCCTATAAATTATCATTCATTATTTTATAAAAAATTTTGTATTTTGCATTTATAAATTAATAATTTTAATATTTTTAACTTATACCATTTTTAAAAATAATATTTTATTCCACTACTAACCAAATTGCTTCATGTTTTGTTTTCTTTTTTCTCTTTTTTTTTTCCTTAACCATAACCAATATAATAATAAAACCAAAAAAAAAAATCTTCTAACAATACGAAAAAAAAATTTTTAATTAAAAAAATTTCAAAATTCTTTAAAATTAATTTTTCCCTTCGACAATTCTACTGACATTTAAAACAACTGCGTATACAAACAAAAATTATAAACCAATTTAATTAAAAAAATGACAAAAAACAAAAAAAAAACTTGATTTCAATTGATTGCAACAAAAATAATGAAAAATGTAGAATTGATGATGAAAATTTAATGAATGCAATGACACTAGCACAATCACCACCTGTTTATCGTCGTATGTTATCACGTGAAGAATCATTGCAACAACAATCACAACAACAGCAACAACAGCAGCAACAGCAGTTAAATCAGCAACAACAACAAACGAATCAACAACTTAATCATGGTATGAGTACTTCAAATATATCAACTAGTGGAGGTGGTGGTGATGTATTTTCACGTTTAGGGGCTGGTACATTAGATCCAGCACCCGGTGGGAGTATACAAAAGATCACCGGAAAGGTAAAATATGTAAAATATTAACAAATAATTTAATAATTTAGTATTTTATCTGTGTGTTTATTTTTTTTGTTTTAATAATATGCTTACTTGTTAATTATTTTGTGTCAATGTTCGAAATGCACTCTGAAATTTCTAAAATACAATTGTGGCTAATATAGTTTTTTATGACTTCTCTTGTGTGCCTCACAATATCTTTAATTAATGTTGTAAAACTTTAACATCACTCAATTTCAACTTTTGAATCACTTTATATGTGTATATACCATTTTAAATTTAAATTATTAATTTCCTTTTATTTTTTAAATTCTATAAGAATTGAAAATTTTTAAATGATTATAACAAAAAGATTTTTTGATTTGTATGGCAACAAACTTACCAGAATAGAGTAATGACGAACCTTTTTAACTGTTTAAAATATGATATAAAAGAAACGTCAAAAAACTGTCAAAGAACTGTCATATTTAAAGTAGACATAATGAGATTTTATGACTTTTGTATTTGTTTCTTTGCAATGAATGTAATGTTTTGCATGTTTGCATGTTTATTTGCGCAAAATCATTAAAATCCATCGCTATAATTACAATTACTTATAGGAAATTGTTGTAAGGATTCCTTATTGAGTGTGATATTCTTATTAAAATTCTGTTTCAATATGAAAAGGGAATTTCTAAAAGTTAGATTTATGTTGTCTTTCGATATTTTTCAGCCATTTTTCTTTTGTGTTTTTGTTAGTTTTTACATTGTATAAATAATTTTTTGTTACATTTGGTCAAATTTTAATAAATCAAACTTATTTTTTTTTCTTCTTTTTCATTTTCTAATATAGATACGAGTGGGTGTTCCTCTTTATTGTACTCACACTGTTATGGGCCATAATAATTCCGTATTATCGATAAAAGTCGATGAAAATATTTTATATACTGCAGCAGCTGATCGTACTGTTAAAGTATGGGATTTACATCGTGAAGCACCACAATACTGTTTATCAAGTCATCCAGGGCCTGTTATAGCTGTACAAAATGATAAAAAATCAAATTTATTATTTTCTGCATCTGGTCCATATGTGCGTGTATGGGATTTAAGAGCTAGTAGTTCAAAAGCTATAAAAACTTTAAGTTCATCTGGTCAAATATTAGCTGGAAATGCAAATATAACTGGAATAACACCAGGTGAATCACCGATAACAGCAATGTGTGTTGGTAATTCCGGTAATTTATATGTTGCAGCATCTGATAAAGTTCGAATTTGGGATTTAAAAAGGTTAGTATTTTTAAAACGGGATTGTTATGATTGCAATAATCGCTTTCTTTCTCTTAATTGCGTAGCCTTTCTTGCCTTGGTAAATTATCTGGTGGACATCAAGCAGCTGTTATGTGTGTAACATCATGGGAGGGATCTGGTTCAACGGATTTTGTTGCAACAGGATCAAAAGATCATTATGTTAAAGTATTTGAAGTACCATCAACAGGTGGTGTTGTGTATCCTTTATTAAATTTAGAGCCACCACATTATGATGGTGTACAAGCATTAGCAGTAGCACAAGATGCTTTAGGAGCTGATGCCGAATTGTTTTCTGGTAGTCGTGACTCTGGTATTAAACGTTGGGATCTTAAAAGTGGTGAATTAAAACAGGTAAATTAATCGTTTGGATTTTGATGTGTGCTATTATGGTTTTATTTTTATTTGCGAATCGGGGTATTGTTATGGGCTATACATAAATGTGAATATATATATATGGATTGAAGGGGCTAACTGTGAATTTTTATGTGCATGATATGCTGTGAACGCTTCTCTTTAAAAAAAAAACAGTACACTTTGTTTTTTTGCTATTTCTTATTATGCAGGTTTAATTTAGAAATCTTCTTGGGGATGAAGTGATTTCATTTGGGTGTCATTTAAAATCATTATATACATAATTTTTTTTATTTCCTTATGGAACTTGTAAATAATATGACAATTCTAGTAAAAATAAAAAATATAAATTAAAAAATAAAAAATTTCAAGGTATGAGGTCCTTTAACAGTACAAATCTTTGAATTTCATTTTTAAATGTAAAATTCCATAAATGAAATCGAATATAAGAATATTTGTATTGAAAAAATATCAACTTTTTTGTTGAAACATTCAATGAAACACACACAATAGGGACATCAAAATTAGACAGATTTATACATACTTATATAAATTTATCAGTTTAAAATAATATAATATTTATTTTTAGTATATATATATAAATATAAATTGTTTTCTAATAATAGGAAAACAAAATTATTGATTTTCATCGAAAAGTGTTTTAAAATTTGTTTTAATTTTTTCTTTTTCATATTTCTTTTCTTATTTTCTTGTCATTCTTCATATTTGAAATATATACAGTCACTCAATAATGCACATAAAGGATGGGTTTCCGGTATGGCAATATCCGGTGATGTTTTACTTTCTAGTTGTCGTGGTGGTATTATTCGTTTATGGAATGTTAAAACTTGTGATAGCTTAGCGGAAATGAAGACTGAATCATCAATTAATGACATTGTAGCATCCGGACAGAGAGTATTTACAGCTTCAAAGTAAGTTATAATGTTTCATTTAATAATTTTTTTCTCACATTATATACACAACGTACCTATAATTAAAACTGTCTTGTTTATAATTATTAAAGGAAAATTGATTATTTTTAATTAAATATTACAATATGTCGAATAAAATTTTATAACAAAATAAAATTATAAATGAATATTCATTATAAGAGAAAAGTATATGAATATCACGTGCATTCAATAACAGAACAAATTGGTAAATTAAACGAAAAAAATTATTTTAAAAATATTTTTTTTTAACTTAATTAAAGTTTTCAAAATTTAATATTAATTTTTTTTTTCTCATTGTGAATGAATTGAACTGTGAACACATTGTCAAACTAGAATTTCAAAATAATAAATTACCGTGCTTAATTTATTTGCAAAAGTAAAACTACACGTGTTGTAATCAGGGACTATAGTTTGCGGTTTTTTATAGTTCATCTTAAAAATTGCATTTTTATTCGCAAATAAATAAATATTAAAAACCTATATAAGTAATTCTACCCGTAATGCATAATTTTGAAAACTCATAGGAGAAGTTCAAATTAAAGGATTAAAATTTTCAAGTATTTGGTACATGCTGTCTTTGTACTTGGAATAGTTACGTATTTATTATAGAAAATTTTAGGAACAGTAAAATTGTTTACTTTTTCCCTCGAATTAAAATTGTTTTTTTTTATGACTATTTCTAATGTTGTTATGGTTTTGTTTAACAAATTTCTAAAAATGAATGAAAATTTTCAGAAACAAGACAATTAGTTTGTACTTTTGCTCAAAAAAAGTAAAAAATTCTGAATACAGAAATAATATTATCAATGTGTACAACTTTGCTCTTGCTAGTTTTTTGCAACTCATTAAAAACTATATGTTGCTGGAAAAATTAATTATACAAAATTCAAAATATTGCCTAACTGCAGTCTGAATTGTTATAACTTAATATTATAAGTTACTGGAATTACCAACCCACTTTAAACTGTTCTCGGTGATTCACCGGCTATTCCAATTATATTTGTATTTCCAACTAATTTTCAGTGGGAAAAATTATTATTTTTCTTTACAATATTTCGTATATTGTGAAGTGTTCAAAATTATATTTCCTTAAAAAATAGAAAATACTGGTCACTTTACACAATATTTGAATTGTAACATATTGATAAATATTTGAAGTTGTCATATCTTACCCTCATCTCTCAATATGTTTGATTACCCTCTGTTTATACATTTCGTTTATATTTGAAGATAGCAGGAGGAAATATACACTTCAATTGTTATTTATAGATCTAAAATTCGAATCCCTTATAATATAGAAGTTACTATGAACTTCTTCGAGCTTATTGCAATTTTTTAATTTGAAATTAAAGTTGTAACTGTGTTTAAAGTTTTTGTTAGAATTTGCTCCTATTTAAATGTAATTACAATTTAGCCTAATATTACATATTTAATGATAATTTAGAAACATAAAAAAAAATTATACAAAATTATAAAAATTGAAAATACTTTTTTTACATCTGGTTATTTTACAAGTTTTTTATAAATATATATATACATATAATATGAATGCAAAACTTATTTGTTTATTTCTGACAAAATATTTTATGAAATTGAAAGCCATATTTTCATTAAATATTTTATTATTTTTATATTGAAAACAAACAAATTTAATTTTTCTTTTTAAATGTTCTCATTTTATTTTATTTTTTCTGGTATTTTTCATCTTTCCCTAAAAATATGCAATAAATACATGTAATGCTTAAAAATATTTATTAAAAACATTCATAAAAATTACAAAAATCATACAGCACTGGTGAAGTTCGAATTTGGAGATTTTCGAATCAAGAAAATTTCTTTTCAAGTGGCTTGGTATCATCTACTACTAGTACTACTACTAATAATACAACGGCAACTGTATCATCAATCAAAGGAAATTAAAAATTACAAAATTAGAAAATATGATTTATAAAATTTTGTTTAATATATAAAATTAAAATGAGATCGCCATTAAAAAGTTTAGAATTAAAATTAGAAGTCCAAAAAGACAAAATTAAATTTATTATAAAACTAAAAGCAAAAGTTTCAAAATATCAATAATATAGAATTTAAAAAATTCAAATAATTTTAATTTAACCAAAGTATTATTATACATAGAGAAAAATAGAAAATTATATAAAATCAAAATATTCCGAATAAATTTAAATTTTCCATAAAAATAATAAAAAATAGTCGTTAACTATAATATTTCAAATAAAAGAAATAATTTTAATTAATGTTAAAAAGTAATTCAATTAAAATTAATTTAAATTAAAGGAGAATAAATGGAGAAAAGAAAAAATTATAGTAAAAAGGCAACAAAAATGAAAAAGAAAATTTATAGAGGTTTTTCAATTTCAGTCTGCATTTAATTAAATTAATTGAATTTTTATTGTTAAAAAATAAGGCAATGTGACAAACTAACCAGTATTCTAAGGTAAACCATTTATTAAGTGTTTTTTTTTATGAAAAATATTTTAAAATTCACAAATTATGTGGGATGGTTTATAAATTTTGTTGCAAAATGTTTCATAAATGCGCACGAAAGATTTTTGTTATAAATTCTATTTATAGAATATGCCAATTGATTGTTAAAATTTTGCAGAACTATAGAATAATGCACAATTACAAGATTTTTTTAAAATTAATATTTTTATTATTAAATTCAAATTAAATATATTAATTTAATTTCAATCAGCAATTTAAGTTTGAATTGAATTGAAACATTCATATCTATTATTTTAGCAATTCATTAGAGAAAAATTAGAAAATCATTAAAGGCACATTGTTTACTATTAAAAAGAATGAATGCCTTATATTATAAAATTCCTTACATATTTAAATAATTCAATATTAATTTTAAGGATCAATCGAATTTCTTATTAATAAATGTAAAATACAAGAAACAAGTGCATTTTTGATTTGTTTTTTAATTTGTTTCGAGTTCCAATTTGAATTTCTTCTTGTTACCTCGGAATTTATCGCAATAAAGACAAAAGTGTTAAAAATCACAATTACATAATTACAATTAATTCTTACCTTCAATTGTGTTTCATTAAGTTTAATATGAAGCTTTTGCGAGAATGATTTATAATTAAAATTATAATGCGTTAAAATTGCATGTAATTATATAATTATAATTGTAATTAGATAATTGCATATATATTTGTTATAATTATAATAAATATTTTGCAAAATAATGAAGCCATTAATAGCTCAGTTATTTAGCAGCTATGTAAATATAAATAGGTTCCAAAAAATTTTCAAAATCTGAATTCAATTTACTCGAAACATATTTTTAAGAAATTAGACAGTTTTTTCTTAAATTCACAGACTGTCATACTCACAGGCTACTATTTAGGTTTAAATATTTTACAGTTTGTTCAAGTACATAGTTACAATCAATTGCATTCCGTTATTAACAAGAAATGCACTGTCACCAATTTGAATAATGGTTCATGTTTTATGTCAGAATAGAATAACGTAATAAAATTTAAAATTGAAATTCCTAAAGAAGAAAACTTTAACCCGTTCCACATATTTTAATTTTCACAAAAAGAAAAATTAAAAAAAAATGTACTTAATATTACAAATGAATAAATATTTCATTTTTTTTTCTCTTTTTTTCTTGCTTTGCTCTAATTATGTTTCATTAATTAAAAAAAAAAAAAATACACACAAATTTTTGTGTCCTTGCTATATTATTGTTGCCTGCAATTTGTTTTTGTGATTATTAAAATTGTAAAAAAAAAACGCTTTTGCTTAAAATTATTTCAATTGCACTTGGGTTATCTTTACTATCGTTATTTTTATTACAATTATTGTTATTACTTTTTTTTTGTCAAAAAAAGTTCATCCTTTTTATCAATTCATAGCATTTTCTTTATAATACAAAAAGAGGCAATAAAGCAGAAACAACAATGTTTAAATATTTTTGCACACAGAACAAAAAAATACCGCTATAATTTTATGCTCAACACGTTCATAAAAAGTTTTTTTTTTTTTTTTTGTAATTATATATTGAAACTTTTGTTTTTATTCTTCTTGTGTTTTTTTTCGGATTTGATGCCATTATTTTATTCTTTATTGCATGATATCGCCTATAGGTATGCAAAGCAATTAAAAATATTTCTTTATTCGATTATGTTATATAGAAATAATACACATAGCCTAGCTACAAATGTTATAATTGTGTACATAATACTTTTTATAATTATTATGCTCTCTATATTTTATATTATCCTCTCTTTATATCTCTCTGTTTACATTTTAATGCGTCCATAATATTATAGGTGCTAAATTTAAACGGACGCGGTATACGGCATGCGGTTGTAAAAAATGTAAAGCCGTTGACAAAATGGCCCAAAAATAAAATATTCGATTGCGACTATTAAAATTTTCCAGAAAAATTTTTGGAACTCAATCATAGATAATGGATATAGGTAGACTTAAAACTCCATACAAATTTTTTGTCAAAACAAAGTAATCTTATAAAGTCAGTTGAAAATGTAATTTCTTTTGGTAAGTAGGAAATGTAAAAACACGAATGGCGCATTTCCAAACCGCATAGTACATATATGAATATATGCCAGTGAAAACGTTTGCTGCAACGTATTCTAATTTCCAATCCCAAGTGTACGGTGTTGCAACTAGAAAATGAATTTTACTGTTTCTCTATATAAACATCAACAATATTTTTGTAGTAATAAAATAATGTATAATGCCGCGTGGTATGATTTCAGTGTGTCGCTCCCGCAATGCAATAATTTTGATTACCGCATACCGCACACTTTGTCCATTTAAGTTTGGCACAAATAATATACAGTGTAATATTATGTATATACGTTACAATATTAGTGTTACTCTTGTAAGTGTTATATTTTTTGTTGCTTTCTGAAATTCATTTCGTTTTTTGATAAAAATTTAATATTGAAGCGTTGTAAATAATTTTTGTTATTCCTTTAGCGTGAAAATTTAAAAAGGGATAATGTGAGGTGTATAATATTAAATCGTATAAATCAAATTAAAATTGCATACACAATAACGACGTTTTAAATTTAATAATATTTTTAAAAATAAATAGTTCTTGCTTTTTATACACGATTGCTTATACATGTTTACTTTGATTCAGAATTTTAATTTGTAAAGCACCTGGCAGAGTTAAGCATCGAATTGTAATTTAACTTTTCTCAATTAAATTTTTCAATTTTCCCAATTGGATTTCTCATTTCTTCAATTTGAAAAGGTAATGATGAAAGTAATGTATATTATATGAAAATTTAAAATATCGGTAAAATGTTGATGATATTTAAAATAAAATCACTAAATTTTTTCTATATTCAAGCACATTTCTGAAAAAAGTAAAAGACACCCATATTATGTACCCTGGTCCCTGATGTTTAGATTCATGTCGCTTTAAAATTATTATATGACAAATTCACCTATGGTGTAATGAAGAACTTAAAAATTTTATTGTTGTTGAATGATTGTATTTTAAAAAGATCAGATGGGGCTCTTACAAATATTTTTGCTTTATATAAATTAGTACAGAATATATTGAGATATTCGATTATTTGTTATACACTTGATTGTTTTAAAGTGCTGGTAAAAAATGGTAAAAAATCAACCTGTTTTCTACTGCTAGATTTCGCAGATCGTCCGGAGATTTTAATTTTAAAAAGCCTGGTAATTCCCTGAAAAATAATTGTAGCTATAAACAAATATAAAAAAAATTACTTTCAAAACTCGTTCAATATTTGTGGTCACGTTTGTTTTTCTATGTTTAATTTTATGTTTAATTATTTTCAAGTAAATTCCGTTGTTTTTTTTTGTAATATTATTATAAATTATTAGAAAAACATATTTTATTATCATCGTTGTGAGACAAACAAATTAAAATTATAAAATGTAACCAAGTTCAAATATAATTATAGATTCAAATATGTGCTCTGGGGATTACAATAGTATGAAAATAAACTAGTATCACACAAGTAATTCATAAATTTAGTATACATAAATTTACATAATATCTGGTTATATTGTGTAATAAATGTAAATAGAAAGTGTTTTGGTATAGATATTTATAATATGTAGAGTTTGGGGATTTGTTTTTTAATTTGTACTTATATAGTAAACAATTTCATGATTTTTATCAGTGCAATTAGTTTTCAGTAATTACTAATATTTGGTTCGTTCGCGTTTTTTTTTTCAACTGGGATTACATTAAAAAATTAAAATTTTTAAATAGAAAAATGTGATTTTTTTCGTGTTTGGAACGTGAAATTTTTATTTTTTTCTGTTATGGTATGAAGTACTTTATAAATTGTTTTATGAGATATTTGAAATTACCAAAAGAATTGGTAATTTCGATTAAATGTTCGGTCGGCTTGTGGTGTGTGAAATTCTTAAGGAAGAAAGCAAGCTTGTGAGCTTTTTTTAAGCAAGAGCAACTGTGAGGGAAAGGAAATGTTAATATGTTTTTTTTAAATAGTTATTCTAAAAACCAACCGCTTTTAATAATGACTATTTTGATAGACTGTTAATAATTGAGAATTAAACATTTAAAGTTATAAAAAAGTACGAATAGCGACAATTGTTTGTGTTTATACTTTTCATTCAAGTCTTAAAAATCTTGAGATTCGAAATATTTTTTTGATATACATCCACAATCATAGAATATTTATTAACATTTGATGACTAAAATTAAAGCTTAAGGAAGAATCTGTGTGAAAGTTTTTTACGATTTTAAAAAAATTTAAAGTTTCCAAATTGTGGAGACCAGAAAAACTAAAAAAAATAACAAAAAAGCAAATTTATTTTTTTTTAATTAAAATTAAAATGTCTCATATCCGAAAGTCCATAAATTATAAAAAAAAATTGAATTGTCAATTTCAAGCCTTTTCCTTTCAAAAACTGTTTGTTTGCCGCTGGTGTCTTTTTCTGAACGGATGTTATAAGTAAAACGAGAAAAAAATAGAGTTGACCTTGTCAACTCTGTGATACCCGTACGAATTTGTTATCCTATGTGCGAATAACTAATGTGCCATAACTAACTATGGGGCAGACTATGACTTTAAGTTGCCGTATAACCATATTAATTTATGCAAAATTTCAGTACTATGTGTTATTCAAAATACTGGTTGTGCCAAACTACTATTGATGTTGTATGGCA